TGTGTGTGTGTATGTGTGTGTGTGTGTGTGTGTGTGAGTCCGTCCTTGTACGCACTTGTACACCCCTATATTCTTTTCTCCCTGATAAATGTATGACGACAATAAGTGTGATAATATTTTGTACTAAGTTTGCGTGCGCACATGCCCGTCAGAGAACACAAGAAGATCATAATTATATTAGGGCGTGTCATAATTCTCCGTCCGGAAGCTTTGTCTTTGGATGAGACTAATTACTACAGTACTATCCGGAAGAAAGTAAGCCACGCCTACCCCTATCCCATCCCCACCGCCACCCCACTCCCATTCTTATCCATCCTTTCCCACATCAGACCCCCCCTCCCTTCCTCTCCACCCTCCACAGACCACCCTCACTCCCTACCCACCTCCTCCATCCTCCACCCATCATTCTACTCCCAGCCCCTCTACCCTCTACCCCTTCCCCCTCCAACCCACGTCCACCCTCCACCCCCTAACCCCAACCCGCTCCCACCCTCTCCCCCAAAACCTGGAATGTGGAGGGAGAGAGAGATGGGGGGGGGGAGACCGAGAGGGGTAGAAAGAAAGAAGGGAGAGAGAGAGAGAGAGAGAGAGAGAGAGAGAGAGAGAGAGATTTTGGTGGCATTGGTAGTGGTAGGTCTATCGTTTACTGTCTCCCACATCCACAGGTTTCTTGGTTAGTTGGAGATGGGGTGGGATTTGGGGAATAGATGGAAGAAAAGGGTGGGGAGGGGGTGGGGGACTAAGGGATGCACCTTGTAAGTACAACTACTGTCCTGTTTATAACTTCGTTTAAAGGGGAGAGCCAAAAAAAAGTGTGGGAGGGGGCGAGGCTGAGGATGCAGTTTGTAGGTCCAACGTTTGTCTTGTTTATAAGTCATTCTAATGAGAGAGGAAAGAAGAAAGGTAGGGGGCTGAAGGGTGTCATTATCGTATGTCTGCGATTGTTCTCCCAAATCCCACCTGGCCGCCTCCAGATCTTGGGTAGCTGGGTAGGGAGGGGAGGGGTTGGGTGGGGAGGGCAGAGAGAAAGCCAGAGAGAGTGTATGAGATAAACACACACACACACACACACACACACACACACACACACACACACACGAGGGTGACAACGATAGAATATGAGAGTCAGAGATAGAGGGGAAAAGAG